TATAGAGGGTGGAATACATGAGTCCTGTTTTCCCAATCCGTTCTATTTAAAATCATATCTACTGTTAAATTATCATATATATAGGGATATAGAGAGAGAGAGCTGAGCTGCCAAGTTTTGACCTTTAGTGATGACCATAATATGACAAAATTAAAATTGTTGGGGATTGATGGAAAAGTTTTGGTTTTTCTTTTATCATTTTCTTTTTTTTTTTTATTTGGCTATATATTCAAGTAATATTTTGCATATCCATGCTCTCCTATATGAAAAGTTCACATTCTATTGAATCCTATTATTTCTGTTTTGTAGATAATTGAGTCTTATTATTGACTCTAGAGTTATCACCCACCTTAAATCTGTACTATTAATTAAAATTCAAATCAGTTCCTTTCACCAGTCACAACATGCAAGTAAACAAATACAGCACAAGGAATAAACACACACCACTGAGGTGTAATGCCTTGTTTTCATTTGTCAATACCCACCTTTTCTTTTGCTTAAAACTACTGATCAGGTTGGTTTAGACGGAACTAGCTAGAATTCGAATTGGTCTGAGTCTCCAGTCACCATCTCCAAAAAGGCTTAGGTAATGGTGGATCCAGGACCCAATCAAGGCAGAGACTTCTATCAGGCGCAAGTTTCTCTCAGGCCACTCACCATGTAGACGTGGGTTTCCCTGTTCACTCTGTATATTTAATATATCATCTTGTCACGTAATTCAATTCACTTTGCTGGTTTCGTTTCGTTTCAATTAATCGAATTCGAAGCAGAATTAATATTTAATCATCAGGTAGCAATTAAACCAGACTCGGAATACAAAATCAATTAATGAAGACCAACCTCGACCACAGTTGTTGTGATTTCATTGCTTGTATGTGTTATAATAATATTCTTAATTTATTGGCTTCACCTCCATGGTTTGGAATTTGGATAAGCGAGAAGGACACAGTTGACGCGGCGCATGAGCCGCAGGGTGCTGCGCCCAGCAGCGGCCAGCGAGTAAGGTTGCTGTAGCTTCATGCTCACGCAGCAATCATTGGCAGGGTGGAGACAGCTTTGATGCATGGCAGCTTTCTTCCTTGCTTCTAGTTCTAGCAAGCAATTCAACAGCTCGGCTTTCGAGGTTTTGGCCTGTTAGCTCGGTCGTCCTATGAAGGCCGGACTAGGTCCGGGACTCCCGGCTCAAGGAATCAAGTATCATCAACTTTTCTGCTTTCCTGGGTTGGGGGGTCAATGGTGCCTGCTGTCTGATGATTAAGACCATTTACAGTAGTTGGTGTTTCAACTGTGTAAGAGCAGATTTGGAGCTATAAACAAGATACAAGAGCTAGGACGCACTGGGAGGGGACCTTTTGCTTTGGGCTAGGCAGGCTTTCCTCTGACCTTGGATTGGATTATTGGATTTGGCCACAAAATAGCCCAACCCCACCTAAGCTAAGTTGAGCTTGTGTTGAGATCTGCTTGTTCATGACATGTAATCAATATGATTAATTAAAATCTAATTAATTTCCTGCCTATGCTTTCAAGTCAGAAAGCTCTTGATTTAATTGCATATACATCACCTCTACTTTATTTCATCCAAATATAAATCAAGGTTGTTGTTAATCAATCTTTAACTTTTTTCTCTCTCTCTCCTTTTTCCACTGTCCTTTGATTTGAGTATATCTATAAAAAAAAAAAAAATACTTATTAATTAGGAGTCTTCATAAATGGAGACTTATTCGAAACCTCTTCGATAAAACAGCAGCATGGATATCTTAACTACCAAGTTATTACTACTCGAAAGTGTTATCTTTTGTACTCGATATTCTTATTGGTTTTCCCTTTGATTTTTTTTTTTTTTTTTTTGTTTAGTGGATTTTCGCTTTGATAAAGACCTTCATCTCACCCACTTGGCATATGTCTTTGATTAAGACTGAAGGCGCTAATGTCATGTCGATACAAATCAACACGGCATATATAATTCCCATTTTACATGAGGTATCTTGAAACAGACGTCGGTGATGAATTGGATGAATTTGACAATATTATTTGTATTAGACCACCAATAGAGACATTTTTTATTAATCCATATGGATATAATCCATAGATACTTGGTTGATTGTGATTTCCCTTGCATCGTATCTGCTTGTTACCTACTACTTCTGATAGTCATCATCTACCAATGACCAAGATGGTCATTGGGCATCCCTCCAAACATATGGATGTATGTAATCAAACTCGTAAAACTGTAAGATGTCCATGATAGAGCCATTGGAACTATCAATTGATAGTTATGGGTGGCCACGAGTTGAGTTTTTCATGAGTTATCCATGCTTGATTTGTGAAACACTTAATTAGGCTTGGTCTAAATCAAGTTTGAATCGAGTTCTAGTCCAATATATAGATTCATTTGTTAATCCAGCCGAACTTAAGCCCATTAAAACTTGGCTCATAAGGCTCATGAGTCTAATCAAGCTCATATGTATGTACATATGTACATACATTATACATATAAAAAATAATAAATATAAAAATATAATACATATGAAAAATAATATATAATATTTTTTATATATATAATAATAACTAGTTTTTTATAGTTTTTAATTTTTTATGTTAAATAAAGAATAAGTTTTTATACATATATTCTTTTATTTGTATAAAATGTTTGACTCATAGTCAAGCTCAAGTCGAGCCGAAATCAAACTTATGAGCTTTTGATTCAAGCCGAGTTTGAGCTCTATCTCAAACTCGAGCTTCATAGTTTATTGGCGAGCCAAGCTCAAATAGCTAGATATTTGGCTCAACTTGACTTGAATCACCCCTATTGATAATCATTGGCCGATGATCCAATAGTTGAGATGGTCATTTGGCACCCCTCCAAATGTAATTAAACCTACATAATTGTAGGTTTTTCATGGTAGGGTCAGTGGACCTTACATGCACCCTGTTCTAACCACACCCTTAATCCCCAATAATGTATAATATGTAATATGTAATACCAATAAGAAAAGGAGAAGATTGTTTTCATTGTTTTAACTACTTGTAGTGAGGACTTCGGATGAATTCCTGACTTCATTCGGGTTGGGGGTTACCAGTATGGAGGACGGGTTAATCCTGTTGTGCAGCCCCAAAAGGCCAAAAATGCACATTTTATTATGTTTTCTTCAACCAAATAATTTTCCATATTGTTAGAACTTTAGATCTTTTCTTCCTGTTTTTTTTTTCTTTTTTTTTTTGTTGATGCATATTCTTCCTTCCTATTTAGGTGCCATAGTTGAGTTCAAGTTTGCAAAGAAGATAAGGGACCATTATCCACTTTTTGTTCAGGTCATTTGGGGCCTTAACCATGGTGGAATGTGGATTTGATATTTGGATATGGACCTAACCTTTAGTAGTTTTGACACGAAGCAGGTGCCCTTAGACTAGAGCTTGCATTTTTCCTAAAAATTTTTAAATCGGAGAAAGTGGAAATTAAAAGAAACCATGTTTTTTGGAGATAGAAATCCAAGGAAAAAAACGTTTGTAGGAGATAGAAAGGAACAATTAAATTAGAGATTTAAGTTTGAGAGGAACAAATGCTTCAAAATAAAAATCACTCTCATTAGTATTAAGAGCCTATTGTGTTTTTTGGATTTTGAGAGAGGGTAAAGTTTGGTTAATGGAATTTTGGTTCACGTTGATTAAGATATTCATGTTTTTTTTTTTTTGGTTTTATGTAGGGCCTATGGAAAATATCACTTATCCGAATAAGTGATACTCATCTCTTAGGTAAATAAATTACTTTCCCACATAAGCGAAGTTGCCAACATTTGTATAGAACAAAATTACCGTTTTTAATAATAACTTTTTTATGACTAAAAGGGCCATTGTCTTGTTTATCCAATAAATAAAGAACATGGTCAAACAAGTAAATAATTTCTCAAAAAACAAACGGAGCCTAAAGGTAAAGTAGAGGCCAAAGGAACGACTCTGTATCTCCTGCCTACGAGAACTCTGCCTACGTTTATCCACAACACTATCCTCATGAATTAGGAATAACTTCCCTTACATAATACTATGTAGGAAGATGAGATATTCTCCATATGTGAGTGCCATATTATGTGTCTAGACGTTGGTAAAATTTGTATGGGCAGCAGATCCGTATTCGAAACGAACAAGCTACTACAATGTGTGCAAATGACCTGGTTGAAAGATGCCAAGTTGCTGGGGCCCAGGCCTCAACATTGCCGGGTCCCGCACCCCAGACTACATAAAATGGGTTCAATCTCTCTGCTCCATTGAAAATGAACCTTAAGCCTGTAAAAGGAAACGTCAGAGCTCCATTGAAAATTGCAAAGCCTGGAATGACGATATTGTGTCACACACTTGCAGTCATGCACTATCCAAACAAAAACATTTGATCCGAGGACCAAATCCACATAATGTCACAATTACGCCATCTAACCCTACAATTCCTCGTTATTACACCCACCTAACCCCATTTCTCCACAAAAAGTAGGAAACTCTGAGAAGCTAATTCCATTCCCACGGTCAGGATTGCCTACTATCACTAGATCCCCAAATGGGTCCCAACCCAGGAAAAGGTCAAACTGGAGCAACCCATATCAGAATGAGCTAAAGTGCCGTAATTCATGTATCATGGTTAATGGAAAGCCGTGAGCTTTAAGAAATGAAGAAAGCTCAAAGCTGTTCTGCTTCTAGTTTTGGCTCTTTTGGAGAGAGAGAGAGAGAGAAGAGAGAGAAGAGAGAGGAGAGAGAGGAGAGAGAAGGAGTAGGGCAGTAGAAGAAGAAAGAACCGGGAACCGCACTCAAACGCCTTTCATGTTGACGCCATCTGACAACGAACAATCAAAGTTTACTCAGTACGAATCGATATATTAAGATTCCACGATACCCAACCAAAGTCCTTCAATCAATCAACAGAAACAGCTTCTCTCTCCCCAGTCCCCACTATAAAAATCCCACCAGCCCCCCCTCCCCCACTTCCAATTTCCATTAACCAAAGCAGCCTAGCTATGGAAGAAGAATTCCAAGAGTCTGAAGTGTTCTGGCCCGACCTCCATCACCGCCGGGGGGACGATGCTCGGAGAACCGTCGACCACGATGACGATGATGGCAGTTATGTTAATTCGAGGCAGCGGCTATGGAGGAAGAAGGTCAAGAACACGAGCAGCTCCGTTCCGGCCACCATACCGGAGACTATGGCCGCTGGGCGTGCTTGGTTACATTTTCAGGATTCGGACGATGGCGATGATGACTACTTTGGCGATGGCGAGATGGTGCCGCCCCACTTGTTGGTCGCTCGGAGGCTTGACGGGAAGATGGCCTTCTCTGTTTGCACCGGCAACGGCAGGACCCTCAAGGGTCGTGATTTGAGACAAGTTCGAAACTCCATACTTCGATTGACAGGGTTCCTCGAATCATGACACCAGAATAAGAAAAAACAAAAAAAAAAAAAACAAAAGCAAAGGAAAAAAATCTCATTTTTTTCAGGCTCTCTCTTTCTTTCGCTTTCTACCATCTCTGATTCATTGCAAGTTTGTAACAGGAAAAAGAAGAGTAAATAAAGATTTATTTTTCTAATAATTCGTTTCTTGCCTTTTAATTCTGAGTTTTGGTTTCTCGTAAGCTAAGTCTAGCCATGGAAGCAACATCTGAAATTTTCTTACAGAGGCTCTTGCTTTCTTGGTCCTTCTGATGCCCAACAGTTTCACTGATCAGCATTTGCTCGAGATTCTTCAAAGAACTAATATAAAGTATTACATGTGATCTTCTGGGTGTTTCTGAACTTTTCACTATAAACTCTGTAAGTAAGAAAAAAAAAGGATTGGATTTAGATCATTAAATTAATGGGCTTGATCAAGACAATTCATTTTATAAGTTAATTGCTTTGGATCGAGTTATTTAATCCTTCAAAAGTGGGCTCTTGTTGATGAAGCATGATGAGAATAACTCTTCTTAATTTAGGCACGTGAACTTGTTTGTCTGAATCTGAATCTGCAAGGAGGAGCAGCTATCTTTGGACTTTGATTGATTAGCTGTATCATCCATCATTGGCCCACTACAAATCATAGTGGACACGTGGAGGCCAAACTCCCTAATTGATGATGGGGTCAGTCTCAGTCATCTTGAAAAGGACCCAAACCCAAATGATCAGATAAGAGAAGAGAATATGAGAATCCTATGAATTATGATCTTTTAATCCTGAAATCATTTTTTCCTTTTTTTTTGGATCCATTTTGAGAATTCCTTGAGCTTGGTCAGTTATGAGAAAAAGGTTCATGCATTCTACATTCAGTGGTGTCCACTGCGTCATTGCTAATTTGCTATCATTTGCTTTTTGATTCAATTAATCTGGTTTCATGGGTCCAAACCGAACCATATTAATTGGGTAGGCAATGATTCCTCAAATTCAGACCATTTAGTTATTTTCCTTGTCATTTACACCAAAATAAATTAAAAAGAGGAAATTAAAGCAAAATTTTTTATGCAAAAGAGGTGGAAATAATAATTGAAATTTTTTTATCCGAAAAAACTTCAACCCATTTCACAGAAAAACAAGTTCAGTCTTATAAAAACATCAAATCGATGAGAAAAAACCAAAGAAAATAAAAGGGAACAGAAAAACAGTTTATATACCTCAAAGAAGAGAACAAAAAACTTGATTCAAGTACAAGATACGCTCATAATCATGTGCAATTAGCAAAGTCTCCAACATGGTATGTCGGGCAATCGGGTAGCCGGGTTTCAATTTCCATCAATGCATACACTATTTTACTCATTTCTTTTTTAGATTTTCTGGGCTACCCACCTAGCTGGAAAGGTGGCCCAAAATTTCATTTTTTTTTTTTCTGGTAAGATGGGCCAAATTCGATTTGCAAAATGGGTCCATCTTGAGATAGAAAATTATGGGTCTCACGTTCCTCATAGAATTTTTATTATTTATGTTATTTCTGAAAAGGGGCTCTATCAATATTTATTGAATGTATGACAGAATGAAGTTGATGGGGGAACTCAATACTCCAAAGAAGTGAACAGGACAAGCTCTATCCATCATTGAATAGATATTTCTGATACCCCATAACAGAATGGAGAGAGAGAGAGAGGCCAACTGAGCTCCTCTTTGGCTGGATATATGAATTATGTATGATTCCATTGTCCTCTCCAACTGGGCAATGGAGGCCAGGCTGGGTTAGAGTATATAAGTGAAGAGAGGACAGTGCCCTTCTCCTGTGTCCTGTGTGGCTTTCATTTGCTTGTTCTGCTTCTCAGTTTTAATGGTGTGAGGTGGGTATTGGCTGGTGAAGTGGTGACGAAAGCAAGTACTGGTAATTCCACAGATTTTGAATTCTGTGGGCTGCCAAATGACCCCACAGAGAACAACGGTTGTGTATGGGCTTGTGTTGGTCTGCTGTTTTGGACAGAGGAGAGATTTGGAATCTTGTTTATTCAATTCTCTTTTTGAAGGTGGAAGCAGAGGTGGGGCCCAACATGGGCCCACATGTTTCTCTCACGTCACCTCTTTGCCCTGTAGATAAACTTCATGCCACATGTGATAAACTCCATTGTTTCAGAGAGAGATCATCAGAATGCAACGTTGACTCTGTGGAAACCACTATCTACATGGCTAAAGCTAATTGGCTGGGAAATTGGAAAAGCTCGGAAATTATTTTTATTGTTTGATTTTTGGTGCATAATTCGGTACTGGGTTATGTGGACAAGAGAAAGAGCCAAATCCATGATCTCGTGACAGATCAGAGAAACACGTTCTCTGAATAGGCCACTTGTAAAATTTGGGTACATTTGGAGGTTCCCACGTCATCCAAAACCTTGTCAATCAGTCATTTTAGTGAGATGGTTCGTGAGGCTGGCTAGGTCCAGTTGATACGGTCAATCTGGTTTATTCGGATCACCTGGCAATGTTTCCCTTGCAGCCAAAAATATAAATGAATAAAGAAAGAAAAATAAAGAAAAGGAAAGAAAAGTAAAAAAAGGAAAGTTCACCCATTATCAACGTTTTAAGAAACGATTTAGAAATGGAATCGTTCTGGACATCGGTTTCTAGGTTAACGGTTTAACTGTCCGGTTTGAATAGACGATCCATTCTGACAGTAAAATTAAAAATAATTAAAAAATGGTCTAAAACTGTTGAACGGGTCGACGGTTCAACTGCCCGAGTCAATGATTTATTGACTTTTTCAACAGTTTTTAACCAGATTCTAGATTTTGGATAAAACGGAACTGGTTGCCTAGACAGTTCCTGGGCCGAATGGTCCGACTGTCCGGATCAACGGTGGTTCGAAAACGTTGCCCATTATGGGTAATGTTTAGAAACCAAAATCTAAATTATTTCACTTGTATTGATGCAGATGAAACTATAACAGTTTCTTAGGTTTTTTTTTCTAATTTGGGGTTCTAGATTCGTGCTAAAAGTGAAAACATAAATAATCTAAATTATTAATATACTATACATTTTAAAAAAACTAATAAAATAATAAAAATTACGAAAAAGAAAAGTGTCCAAATTTCCATTTCAGAACTAATGTCCAAAATTTCTGAGATTTAAAACCATGGAGAAAGATGTTATACATATTTCATAAAAGTCCATTTCAGATTTACACTTCAGAGGGGAACCTCGTAGATTTATAAAATTATAAGAAGGAAAGATCTTGGTGTATCCACCGCACCGTGCAGAGAAAGACGGGTTGGTTGAATACCATTACACCTTATAAATGTGAAAGTATATTTTGTAAAACTTGAGCCAATGAAAAATGAAAAGTAAGCAAACCGGAAGGTTGGTAGATCTGGATTTAACATCCAACCAATATTAGTGAATGTGCCTGTTGAACTCTTGTAATAAGAATCCTAGGTATTTAACCCAACTAAGTGGTAGGGATGTCAATGGATCGGGTTAAGTGGAAAACCCGTTTGACTAGTCCCTATTGGATTAGGGTTGGGTTAATCGGGTCTTGGGTCAATTTCAGGTTGAGATGAATCAACCCAACTAATGGCATTGCAGAATGGAACATTTGCATGTACAACACTATGGGATGGGTTGGGTTGGGTAGGTAAGCCATCATTGTTTATTTAGGTTGGATTGGGTTAAGTTTGAATTGCATTGAGTCAAAGCTTGACTAGTCCCTATTGGATTAGGGTTGGGTTAATCGGGTCTTGGGTCAATTTCAGGTTGAGATGAATCAACCCAACTAATGGCATTGCAGAATGGAACATTTGCAGGTACAACACTATGGGATGGATTGGGTTGGGTAGGTAAGCCATCATTGTTTATTTAGGTTGGATTGGGTTAAGTTTGAATTGCATTGAGTCAAATTGAACTAGACCTATTCATGGGCCAGGCTTGGATTTGACTTTTGCCAAATTTTGAATGGACTCAACCTGAAACCTATGCCCAAAATAGTGTAAAACCAAGCCAATAGCCTGGCCCGTGAAGAGGTCTACTCAAATCCTCTCTTCCGGTAAGCTCTGAATGAGCCATATATCTGTTTTTATTCCTTGCTAAAATAACCATTTCCCTCTTTCAGTCTTTCCATTATCCTTCTACACTCATTTGGACACTATGGAATAATTTTTTGAAATTTTGGAGTTTGAGGAGAATTCTTCATTAAATTTAAATTATTTTATTAATACTTTATATTGTTTTGTATTATACATTTTAGCTTCTCATTTTAATGGCTATATCCAAAACCCAAATTCCACCAACATTCAAAATTATAACTTTGATTTTTTTTTTTTGGCAAAAAACAAACAAGCATGAATACTCGCTCGTGGATTGATCAGTAGCTTGTTCTAGGATATCAGAGCTGAGTCAGCTGATGTTGAGAACTTGAAATCATCTAAATCCATAGCCAATCAACTTCATTTTATTTTCCTCGAAAGAGAATTTGAAGTTTTTGAGTAACTAACATTCCATCACAATTCAACTCAAAGGGGTAAGCCAGAAAGTGACATCTGCCTTACTACTATGTAATTAAAAATCAAAGAATAATAGTTAAAAAACAGTTGAAACTAATTCAAACATTAAAAGAAATACTATTTAAGACATTAAGTGTCAACAACGATCAACCTTATCTTAGAAATTAGATAGTTGATATTTGGAATAATAAGACACTTTGTCAAACGTTTGCAAATATTTTAACACCCACAGACTAGCTGGGATACCCAAAGTAGAATGATTATAACATAATTTTATGTTAATTTTCTTGGATCTGAGACTTTTTTTCCAACAAATTAATTTCACAAATAGTTAAGATTCAGCTCAACTGAATTTAATCCTTTGAGTAACAGCTGAAATTGCTGAATTGATTGCAATAGGTTCAAAATATCTCAATATATTATCGATTTTCAAGATGACCAATACTTTAAACACTGTCAGGTTCGTGATTTCATTAGTTTTAAGCACTAATAG